TGACAAGAAACTTGCTCAGTTAGTACACTAAGTGACTACACTACTCACCTTATAAAATCTAAAAGGAAACTCTGACCAACGAGGAACAACATCCTCTAAACAAATGTAAACAGAACCTGTGCTGTAGCTGAACATCTCACATTACCAAAAATTGTTGGTGGTTATGGGGCAGGAAGCTGGAAGATGCGGAAATTTAAGGATTTCAGTCTTCTTTTCTTCCACCCAGTCATGTGACAAATGTTTACTGAGCACTTACTATGCACATTGCCTACAGAGACAAAACAAAACAGACATAGTCCCTGACTTCATGGAATTGACTTCTAATGGGAGGAATCAACATTAAACCAGTGTCTGAGAATTACAGAGCAACATAATTTTATATTATAAAAAGTTAAGGTAAAGAATAAGATGCTTCAAGAAAGAATAATAAAAATCAAGATGGTATAAATTTAAACTGTGGCCAGGGAACCGCTTGCTGAAGATGGAACATGTAATCTATGCAGTCACTGGTCAAAAGAAGAGTATGGGAGGAGATAGATTATTCCAGAGAGGGACCCTGATGTACAAAATTCCTGAGGTGAAAAAAGAAAAAGAAAAAGAAAAAAAAAAGCTTAGCCTGTATATGCACATAACATTTATATAAAAAAAACTACATGAAAAATTCCCAAAGCTTCACAAATAGCAGAGAAATTACCTTAAATTAACAAATGCAATAAATTCCAAATAAAAAGTTTTGTCAAGGCTGAAACAATGAAACTCTATTTTTGGCACTACTATATCAAGATGCGTTGAGCTGTAAGAAAGCCCAAATAGTTAATAAGAAACACACTTAGTGTCTACTCATCATGAAGTCTGTAGGTACCCAGTTACAGGGTTCATTCAACAGAAAAGTCAAGGCGGTAAGTTGGAATCTCTTGTATTCTCTTGTCCTTTCTCACAGGCTTTTTCTTCATGGTTGCAAGATGGCTGCTAAGCTTCAAGAATTAGTCCTCACATTAGCAACCCGAGCAGGAAAGAGATAGCATAATCAAACTCTCCTTTGTGAATACCTATCTTTTAAAGGGAAGCAAAATCTTTTCCAGATAACTTCCAGCCAACATCCTCGTCTCATTAACCAGATCTGTGTCTTGTGGCTACCTCTGGCTATAAGAAAGGCTGGAAAACCAAGAATCTGGCCAAAAGGGAATGGAATCACCATGACTACATTAGACCATTATGATTCATTTCCAGGATCTAGGCACACGGCCACTCAAACAAAATTATTGTTCTGTTGGCCAAGAAGAAGCATGGCTGTTGCATAGATAACTAACACTATCTGAAGTCACCCAATAATTTTTACAGGTAAGTTATTTAGAGCTTATGCAATTGATTCATTCATTCAACTGTTTTATTAATCATCAAGCATATGCAAAGCTAGACACAAAGTGTTGAGGAAACAACTGTAATAAAAAACAGACATGGTCCCTGTCCTCACGGAATATACAACCTGATAACAGAGAAAAATATTAATCAAATAAACACACAAAAAGAGATACAGAACTCTGGCAAGACTGCTGTAATGAACTTTGTTGCCTTTTACCAAAAATCAGTCCCTGTTCTCTTGGTAACTACTTCAATTTCACTGTAGGTACCCCCACATGCCTACCTACCCATCCCCAGCTTTCACAGCCTGTATACCTTGGGGGCAGCTGCCCCCGTTCTTGCCTCTAGGATTTAGGCGGGTGGCTCAAACCTAAACTAACTGTAATCCTATGCCCTAACCACAGTTATTGGTTAGAGATGGATGAGCACACAACTCAATTAGGGCCAAAGAGGTGAACAGAGAGAACTGTAGGTCACTCCTGATCCAGAAGCTCTCTCTTCTGACATTCTGGAAACAAGTGCCCCAGAATTGCTGGTGTCCTTCCACAACCAAGAAATAATGCCAGCCTGAGGATAAAGTTGACATTGTATAAGACAGAGTGGAAAAAAGGACAAAAGCAGGTCTTTGACAACATCACTCAAATAAACCAATCCTAAAGCCCATCTGACTTCCGAACTTTCAAGATCCATGAAACAATAAAGCCATTATCTTGGTTCAAATCTATTTGACTTGGGTTTTCTGTTACTTGCAACTGCAGTCGCTCTCAGTTAAAAAATACACTCACAACATTAAGAGGGCTTAAAAGAGGAAAATGTGCTTAAAGTTTGAGAAGGTGTCTTTGAGTATCTCTTAAACTCATACCAGGCAAATTAGGAAAGCTGGAAAGAATATTCCAGGCAGTTGGATCAGCATTTGCAATGGCCCCTCAGGGTCATATTGACTGTGTTAGTGAGTTTACATAAACTTTTTTAGACTTTATTCTAAAAATGATGTGGGGGTGGTATGGGAGAATGGGGGAAGGGTGCCTAGCTGGCTCAGTTGGAAGATCATGCAACTCTCCATCTCGGAGTTGTGAGTTCGAGCCCCAGGTTGGGTGCAGAGATTACTAAAATAAATAAACTTTAAAAAAATTTTTTTAATAATAAAACAAAAATGAGGCAGAGGGGTTTTCTGGGGAGAAGGAAGATTAGCATAAACTACTGTCACATTAATCTATACTAAACATTTTATTTTCAAATAGTTGTCAAGACCACAGAAAAGGATTTTCAGAAAACAGTATAACTTAGCACCCATGGACTCTCCTTTAACAGAAGGGCATTCCAACTCAGATTGAACATTCTGGTGAAACTGACCTTATTGTTAGGAAATGTATTAATCCAGGACAGTTTACCCAGAGGCTTTAAAAAGTAGGGAGTATAGGCGATTCTTGGAAGACCAGGGCTCTACAAATGAAAGCGGTCCCGTAACTACCATCACAACCAGATCTCAGAAGGCTGGAGGGGCTCTCACTGCACCTAGAAGCCAAGGTGTGAATGGGATTTCTAACAGAGCTTCAGGTCATCAAAGCTTGGGCACATGCACTTATTTCAAAGTACTCAAAGACTTGAAATAGGTAACAATGTCCATACATGGAAATGTCAAGGAGGGAGAGTATGCCTCATAAGCTTTGTTCTATTTCATGATTTCTCCATTTTCACTCTTCCCTGCAGTCCAGAATTCCAGAAATCGTTATAAAGATATTTCTCCCAATAAACCAATCCTTATTAAATGAAGCTAACTCTGTATCACTGTCTGCCAATATTACTGCAATCCATTTCACATAAGCCAGGCTTTTATACTCTTAACTATTATTAGTTAACTCAAGCTCACAATTACAAAATATACAGGACACAGGTTTGCCAAGCTGAATTGCTTTAGTTGTGCTCAGCAAATAAATTTTTAAATTAGAAAGCTATGAAATATTAAATCATATAAAAGTATTCACTATAATGGCAAAGAAATCATGAGTTCTGTTTAGCTTCTACTGTTAATAACATTCTCCAGCATAATACTGCAATCGACTGTATGTATATGTCCCCCCAAAACTCATATTAAAATCCTAAGTTAAAAACCAAGGTGATAGTATAAGGAGGTAGGGCCTTTGGGTGATTAGATCATGAGGATTCCTAAGGAATGGAATCAGTGCCCTTATAATAGAAGCCCCAGAGAGATCCCTTGTGCCTTCCATGTGAGAACACAGCAAAAAGGCAGCCATCTGTGAACCAGTAAGCTTTCACCACTGAATTTACCAGCACCTTGGTCTTGAACTTCCCTGCCTCCAGACCTGTTAGAAATAAATTTCTATTGCTTATAAACTACGCAGTTTATAGTATTTTGTTATAGTAGACCAAACACACTAAGACAAGTATCAAAGTTTGTGAGATAATAGAAAATATATATATTGGTCTCTGCCCCCAGTTCCTGTCCCCTAAAAACCCTTGTAATTTTCCAAATGGTAGGAATACTAAAAGCATCTCTTGTTCTAAAATGTGGTCTTTGACCCCAGCCCTGACACAGGGATCCTAAAACCTTTGAAAATTCCTAAGTGATAAGGGCACTAGGAGCATCATTTGTTCTAAAGAAGTGACTCTGGCTCCTGTAAGGGTCCTGAAGGGAGCTGGTCACCAGAAAGACTAAGCCATGATTAGGCACTTGGGATTTTTGGCCCTATCCCCCCATCCCCACTTCTCTAGAGAACAGAGGGGCTGGAAATGTTGCTACTAATTGATCATGCCTACATGAGGAAGCTTCCAACAAATCTCAATAGTATGGGGTTTGCAAAGCTTCCAGGTGGGGGTGAACACATCCACACAGGAAGGGTGATGCACCCGAACTCCATAGGGATAGAAGGTCCTGCACTCAGGGCCCTCCCAGACTTCACCCTAGGTATTTCTTCACCTGGCTGTTCATCTGTATTCTTTATCATAGCCTTTAATAAACTGGTATGTGTGTTTCCTTGAGCTTTGTGAGCCTCTCCAGTAAATTACTCAAACCTAAGGAGGGGTCATAGAAACCTCCAATTTGCAGCCTAATCGGACAGGTGTGGGTAAACTGGGGACCTACTAGTTGCAATTGGCATGTGAAGTAGGAGAGGAGGGGGGTCAGTCTTGCAGGAATATGGAATCTGAGGCTACCTTCAGGTAGTGTCAGAATTGAGCTGAACTGTAGGACACTCAGCTGGTGTTGCAGAGAATTGCTCTGGTGTCAGTAAAAACCCCCAAACATCTGGTGACCATAGGTGAAATGTTCTGTTTGCGTAGTTAAGGAGATACACAGGAAAGAAACACACAGCAGGAAAGAACTGTGGGATTTTCCTTTACAAAGATATATCGTCCTGGGGCACATGGGTGGCTCAGTCTGTTAAGGTCTGCCTTCGGCTCAGGTCATGATCCTTCGGTCGTGGGATCAAGCCCCACGTTGGGCTCCCTGCTCAGTGGAGCCTGCTTCTCCCTCTCCCTCTGCTGCTCCCCCTGCTTGTGTTCTCTCTCTCTCTCTCTCAAATAAATAAAATCTTAAAAAAAAAAAAAAAGATATATTGTTCTTCCAAGATAACAGTCAACATCACAGGACTCAGTACTGTATATCAGGAGACACTGACCTGGTGTTTCATCAGGGATCAGCAAAACATAGGCTGTTTTCTTCTTCTCAACAGAGTCAACAGTGCAGATCCTAAGTGTTTTCTGTAAACGACCAACTAATCTGGACAAACAAGAGATGGCAGTTACTACTCCCCACTCAAAGAAGTCCATCAGAGCTTCAAATTTGTCTTTATAAGAATTACTGACATGAAATGTTTGTAAACTGCCTGGAAACGCTCCTGGAAGAGAAAATACACTTTGAATAAATAATAGCTGTCATTACCATCACATATAGCTGGTTGATTAACAAATCATTCAAAAACATACAAACAAGAAAACATCATTCCTTCAAGTTATCCCTCATAACTAGCAGGAAAAAGAATGAAGGTGATCTGTAGCAGAATACTGCCATAAATGACACTGGAAAATAATTCCCACGTTGGTGGTAGCTTGTATTAGGAAAAGATGGTTTCTTTCCTCTAGAAGGCAAAGAATTTGTTAAAAAAAAAAAATTCTCTAGAAGTGACATTTGATACACTTCACACAAAATCGATTGTCAGTTTTACTGCTGCTGCCCACAAGCAGGGAAACCCTTAGCCTCCAATCAATGAAGTTAGACTGTCTAGCTGCTTTCTAACTTTCAGAGAACAGATTTTCTTAGGTATATTTGAAAAGAGCTTCTTCTACAGAAAGGTGAGTCTCAGAAATCCCTCATGAGGTAATGTCTGTGGCACACTTGAACAGACAACCTAAAAAAGGTATTCGATTTAAGTCTTTTCTAAGACATGGTAAAAGAAAAAAAATGTAACTTTATCTTAAAAGACTAAAAAGCTAGTATAAAAATCAACATTTGAGATTTTCTGAATATTTGTTAGGAGCTAACCAGTTAGCTTTTACAAATAAGTGAATATCCAACTAAATTAAAATTCAAATATGTCTGAAATTTACCCATATTATCCAAGAAAAATTAATACATTTCCAACTCCTAAAGCTTCCACTGTAGACCGTCTGTGAGACAGTGTAGCATCATGGCTAGACAGATCACATCTTGGACCAATGCCCACCCTCCCCGCTTCCTAGCTGCTTAACTGCAGCTCAATAATCTAACCTCTCAGCTTCCCTGTCCTGAAATGCAGTTAACAGCTTTCCTTCCCAGTGGGTCTCCAGTGGGTCTCCAAAGGATTAACTGAGATCCTACAAGGACTCAGCTGGTATCCACCCTGATGGCCTGTCCAGCTGCATCTCCTGCACTCACCTTCAAGCATTCTCCTACTCCCTCCCTCAAAAGGCCCTCCCTCAGTGTTCCATAGGCGGTGATCACCTTTCCCTAAACCTCACTCACTCTCTCCTTTACCCTTTCTAAGGGTAAACCTTCATCCTGCAGTAACCATCTTACTACCGCACCCACACATCCAAATACTGTAATTCCTTTCAAGGCCCAGCTCAAACCTAAATTCTCTCAAGTCCAACATGAACACTACCTCCTCCAAAAAGCCCCCTAATTCCCACAGGTCAATGTTTCTCTACCAGGCTGCGACCAATCTCCTGGGTAATTTTAAAAAAAAAAAAAAAATTTTTTTTCCTAAAGCCTGGGCATCAGCCATGTTCACTTTGTCCATCTGAGGTGTGGCCCAGGCACCACCCACGGAAGTGACTGCACATGCTGAGACCCCACAGCGCTTCCCCAGTACTTCCCCTGCAGCACTTTGTACTATCTTAATTACATACAGATTGTATTTAAACTGTAAACTTTTGGAAAAAGGGATCAGTATTTGATTTATAGCCCTCAAATATCCACAAGAACAGTGGCTTGAACTACCAGGCTGATCAACTATCCCTTGTTAAATGCAGAGGTAAACAGAATTTCAGTACTCCTAGAATACAGGATCAAAAATATGGTTTAAAACAAAAGCCAACCAACACCTGAAAAACCAACCTATATTTCAATAGTTCAGATGTTAAGTTCTACTTGGGTGAACTAGCCAACGTCAAAAAAATAATTTATCCACAAAACAGACGAAACATCATCGTAATAAATCAGGTACGGGCTAATCATGTCTGGTTTCACAGACGGTCCCTCCCATCCCCTCTCCCAGAGTTTCCTGAATGGGTCATGGTCCCTCATGCCTCCTGCTTTGAATATACACTACAAGCTCTTACCACATTCTTTATCTGGCTGTTACTAGCTCATTGTGTAAACACCTTCTATGATGGAAAGTCTTTCCTTAGGTCAAAGTCCTAGTCGAATGGCCCTCTTCTGTACTCCCCGGACACTTGGTAATATTACCCCATCATAGCACCTGTCAAAACAAATTAATACTTTGCTTATCTAGTTCCCTGTCCATTTCTGGGGAGAAAGATTCTCTTCATGGTAACTCCATCATCTTGGATAATATATGGCACTTAGGAAGTGTTCAATAAATGCTGAATAAATGAATGAATGAGTCTGTTCATACTCAGTTCAAATTCAGTCTGTTCATCTATAAAAAGGAATTGATATCCAAGGTCTCTTCCAGCTTCATATTCTATTAGAATGAAGGATCAATAAAAACAAATGACAATTACATAAAGATTTAGATCCATGTTTGGAGTGGAATAATTTCTAAATCATAATGTCACAAGTTGCTCATTTATACAAGATTTTCTTTACACATCATTTTAATATTTAAGCCTAAGACAGTATACTTCTGTCCTATTACTTATTATGTTTGGAGAAATTTCTCTTCAAAAAGCATTAAGTGCTCATTAGCAATCCAGCAATCCTAATTTTAATACAAGGTTTTACATAGGTAAAGAACTATTAGTATTTCTTAACTATGGAAAGGTGAATACTAAGGCAATTTTTACATTTTGAGGCCAAGATGGTAGTAGGTGGGTACCGCTAGCTTATAGTCAGCTCAGAATAGATGCATATTAAAGGACATATAAGTAAGTAAGTAATCCTCAGGTACTGGCCCAATTCCAGTTTCAACCTCAGATAGAGCTATTATTGAAAACAGTCATCTCTGCAATAAAGATGTACAAAAATAGAGATTTAGCTTTGGGATGTAGTTTTTTTTTTTATTAGTTGTTCAAGGCAATGATATCCAAGATTATGGTATATTATTTTAAATACAGTAAAAGTATTTTTGTGAGGACTTATCTTAGAATCTACTGGGACGCTATCACTTTCCTAATCTCAACTATTCTTTGTACTAACAGATGACTAGGCTACCCAAACAAACTAAACTTTATATATTTATTTGAAAAGCTTTATTTGATTATAACAAAGTTAAGGTCATTTAGATACATTAATTATATACATTAATGATTAAATTGCCCGATAATTAGACATAAACAATTGTATACAATAATAATTACTCCAACTTCATTTTGTAGATGATAGCAAAATATAATAATGCAAGTCCTACTATTTTTATTTTTTTTAAGTTTATTTATTTAAGTAATCTCTACAGCCAACCTGAGATCTAGAATTCACCAACCTGAGATCAAGAGTTGCATGCTCTATGACTGAGCCAGCCAGGCACCCCACTTTTTAAACAAGCCAATGTAACTTTCATGTTTTTTTCTTTTACCTTGATAGCTTTCTTTATTTTTAACTTGCATGAATACTGTAGTTTTCCCAGGTGCCGCATTTTATATCATTAGCACTCATAAAATATTCAGAGAAAATGGCTCTAAATCTTACTCTGTAATAATGTGCAATTCCCTTGGTCTTGAACCTTTAATGCCCAGGAAAACTCAAAATATTAAAATCTCTTTCAATAATCCTGAGGTAAGACTTGCCCAATGACCTGATCAACCTGCAAGAGTGACAGAAGTTCAGATACCCTGTAGAAAACTATTTTGATGCTCATAGAAGTGGGAGACCTTT